AGTTATATTTGGATCAGCAAATGTTTCTCAAATATTAAATCACCCACTGATTACTGGAAAATGATATACTGTGAAATACTTTATTTTAATTGGAATTAATTTTCGCTGAAAAGACATTTTGGGTGTTTTGTGTGTATTTCATTTTCACTGATTTTTGACGAGATGAATGTAAAATATAGGAAAAAAAAGTATATTCGGTGGATTTTATTTTTACTGAATCATTCCTTCAGCAAAAATAGCGAAAATTAATTCCAAGCGAAAATAAAGTATTCTACAGTATTTGTATCAATGCGAGATAAAGAAAACATATACACATTTCTGAATTTGGAGAGAATTAATAACCAAACTTGTTGTTGAAGAGATGATAGCAAAAAGTAAAAAAAAGGAATGTTCATAATTACAAATGGGCTAAACTACTAACGTAAATTTTTATTGATGACAAATTTCAGCGTTTTCTACCAGTGATGCTGCCGAACAGAAAACTGTACTATACCATTTGTAATTAAGTTTCAATTTCAAGATGAATGTGGGTTTGAATTAACAACACCAACCTTTCTTTGTTTATTTTGTTTGTATATAAAAAAAAAGTCTAATCATGAACACTACATGTAATTCAGTGTTAGCATACATAATTTGAATTTTAAATGATTGGCGGCAGGTACCAAGTAGTGACATGGAGTGGTAAATACTTATTTTATTGAAAATGTAGAAGAAATATCTTACTATAATTTCGAAGGGGCATCAAAAGCAATATAATATAATATTCTGTTTGCTCTGACTTACTGCCTGTATTGTGTCAAATTTAAGCAGCTTATACTCACCACTGCATTTCTTGTTCTTTGCCTGAAAGGTCTTAAGCGCTGTGCTTTCAGAGGTGATATGACATCTTTTAATGTTTTGGCACTGTTACTATCAGCATGTAATCCTTCCCTTACTTCATGTTTAGATGTGTGTACATGACGTCCTTCTATCCTGGCCTCTGCAAGCTGCTCTTTACTATTCCTTGTCATAGTACTGTGCTCCTGTCTTTCAACTCGACCTTCTTCTTTACATTCCCTATATCTATAATGATCAGTTTTTATTCCTGAGGTGCTAGGGAGTCTGTTCTCATTACACACAGAGTTAGGGTGTCTAGTTTCACTCGCATTCACTCCACTAGGGAGTCTGGTTTCGTTCCCATACATATTACTATAGCTTTTCACAGTCCTGTCACAGTTTTGATACGTAGAATTCTCCTTTCCGTTGACAGTACCACGGGAATATTTTGAGACATCTACAGAGCTATATTCATCGGTATTGTCATGATTGTCAGTAGTTTCAAGGCTGGAACCAACGTAACCGCTGCTACTCGTATTTGTTGTAGCATTTCTCGATTGTTCATGTAATACACTACTACTGCCAGTGTTATTGTATTTGTGTGATCTCCTGTGATCTCCAGTTCCGTTTTCTTTAATTTCACTGTAATGACTCGTCTTGCACTTATAACTGTGATCATTTGCTGAAGTTGAGGTATAAATATTTTGTGTCACTGAGTGGCTTCCACGAACTACAATATAAACCAGTACACATGTTTTATAAATACAAAACAAGAAGATAAATTTTACATTTTACTGATATATGAAAAGTTAATTAGACGAAACTTGATCAAATCACTGAGCTATAGATTGTGAAAATGACTTGCAAACACAAACATGAGTGTTTGGTTTTTGTGTGTCAGCAAATCCCCAGAGAATAGAAGGAGCTAGAAAGAGTTCAGTTTGGACAAGTTGCTTTTGTGAAATATACAATGGGTGCATTTTAAATGATATAACAGTAAACCGTTGAATGGCACCTCGTTTCAGAATTCTACACTGTAATTCAGATTAATTGGTAGTTTTGATATATTGACTTTCTTTGACAAGTCAGTCTAGACAAGACAGTTAAAACACATAAACTTGTTTGCCCACCCTACTTCCAGCATGCATTTGCAATAAGAAGTCATGTTATATCTTGTCTTTTTCCTTTGTTCATTTACATGTCATTTTGATGTGACAGACACTGCTTAGTTAGTGACCCGTAAATTTACAGTACTTGTGCGGTTTTCTTGTCAACTCACAATAGATTTTATGAATACTGTAATAAATAAAATAAACTCTCTTCAAAACCCATATCAAAAGAAAACTATGTACACTACCTTTTTCTCACTAGTCCAGAGGCATTTAGAGACAATAGTTGAATTAAGCTAACAATTTTCATATTCAAGAACGGGTTAAATATTAATAAATTGTTTGTTTGTTGCAAGCACCTTTTAAGTGGACCTTTCCCATGATGCAATGCATGAGAAATACAAAATTTTGCATGTTCATATTCCAAATATGAGAATAGTGAAACATTAAAATCCATGTTGTCAACAAATATTTAAACTTACCCTAAATACTATGAACAAATATCACACTAAAAAACTCTAAATTAAATATAACATTATCCAACTTTTTTTTAGTATATGGCAGGCAAAAATTGAGACCCACAGAACAAAACATGAAAATAGATATAGTATTCTTTTCAATTTATACTCAAGTTTTTTTTTTTTTATAGAAAGTGGGCAGTTTCAATATTAAATTAACAAATTCTAGCTGTTGAGCTTGTGTGAGAGTTTGAATAAGACTAATGATTCAGTTACTGATACGATACTTTTAAAAACGTCTTTAAAAAAATGCCTTTTTCAACAATGCACAAAAAGACTCTGCATGGCCTATTGACGTGCAAAAATGATTGTCATAAATCATTTTTGATTTCAGTACATAAAGATAACTTACCACCAGAGGCAGGTTGTGTTGCTGCTTTTCTATCACCATCCAACCAACTATTATTTTTCCTCCTGACATCTTGTGATGAGACGTTTGCATGATGTTGACAGGACGACTGCACATGATTGCCTGAACCACTCTGACTGCAGTTACAGGACCTAAGACCAAAACAAGTAAGTTAAAATGAAAGTGCTAGCAAAATCAAGCACTATGGTTGAGAAATAATTTGATATGTAATGTGAAGTTATTTCCTTCTGCAGAATTATCAACATATTTTGACATCTTTGACGACTTTCTCGGAAGTAGCAAGACTTGGGTGCAAAAACACTGCTGCTTTGTCATGGCTGAAAAAAACATGTCAGTTTGCTGGTAGTCGATAGAAGAGAATTTGATTAGTACATTCAGAAGTACAATATTATAACACCTGCAAATTTACGTTAGACCCCAAAACAGCATGCACGCGCATGGAAAATGCTGCATCTTCGACTTCCGAGGAAAGTTGTTTTTAACTTTGATATTCTATAATCAAAGATTTGTATTTGACGATTTATTATTTTGCATAATAGGATAGTTCAGACAGGTTTTACTCTATTCTAAATATTCTGAAATTGAATATTTCCGTGTAGATTTTACAAGTAAAATATCATGCCAATACACTTGGGAAAGATAACCTGATAACGTGATGAGAACTTACCCTGTTCTTCTGTTGTCATTAGATGATTGAGAATGCTTTTTAACTGCAGGCCACATTTCATATTGTTTAGAATTCACTTTACTCATACTATCTGAGGTAGTTGCTTTGCTAAAATATGAAGGTTTCTCACTCTCTGATGTCACTGGTGTTAAATTACCCTGACTAAAAGCTTTCAGTGGTCTGGTACGAGACGGCTGACGAGGAACATTGATACCAGTGGATACGGTTGCCATAGTAGCATGACCACTGTCAACAGACATGTCAATTGTTTTCTGGGGGGAAAAAAAATTAGTGGCAAGGATTTAGCAACTTGTAAAATAATAGTAGACTTGATAAAGTAAGATAATATGAACGGACTTATGGAAGCATGACAGTGTCATGCATTGAGTTAACTACAGTAGATTATAATTAGTACGGTATGAAGGTACACCCAAAATACAGTAGAACAATTTTAGAGGTAATATTGAAAACAAAAACATACCTCTAATATTTGTTTTAACTTTCTTATTCTATGGATGGAGGGGGGTTAAGATGTTGGCAGTGGCATTAGAAAATAGGGGTGACTGCTATCCACACCTTAATAATCAACAACAAAGCATCACATTTGGGATAAAATATATTTTCTGTCCTTACCAAATTCTGAACTCCATTCATTTTAGTTTTCTGATCTTCTATTTTAGAAGATTCTGATTTTATCATAAATGGATGATCAAGGATACCTAGGAAAAAAAAACACACAAAAAAAACCAAATTATTATCAACATGGCAGCCATACATGTATTTCATGTTTGGGTCACGACAGTGCAATGTGACTTTACGACAATTTTAAATGCAATAAGTAGAGCCAGTGTGTCCTAAAGTTGTAGAGGTTATAGACATATTCACGGTATCCTGAACAGTGGCACATGCATAGTAATTTGAACTATTATTTTTTTGTTTAAACGAATATATCATCATATCTTGGTAATTGCCGGGGTACTAGAAACAGAATATTCCAGTTTTCCCGGTATTTAAAATAACAATATCACAAGTGTATTACCTGAGAGAGTTATCCTATCATTAGGATTCTTTTTCAACATTTTGAAAATCAAGTCTTTGGCTTCATCTGACACATAACTACATACAAAAACAAAAAAAATCTGTATTAATACCCTGGTAATATCAATACCAAAAAAATAGCGTTAATTATTATTTTATGAAAGTGATAAATGTATCAGAATACTTAAACAAAAACAACTATTCATAAATGCCCAAAAATGCAATAATCATAATCACTTTTTTACTTTATTCCAAGAATAATGACACATCTCTGATTCCATTGTTCTAATGGCCAGGAATTCATATACCAAGCCAGCAATATCACAAGTCAGTAGATCATTATCAGATGTTAAAACAACACAGTTTGCAACACAGATGCATTGTCAACCAATTAGCTGATGATATTGCCTACTTGGTACATGAAACAAATTTGTTGCCACAGTAATACCGTAGATTACTTTGTTTTAGCCAAATTTAATTTCAGCTTAAAATCACAAATTAGTTGACACATATAACAGATTTTCACTAAATTGTCATAATTGACATTCAAACCATTGCAAAAAAAGTATTTTCACTATATTTTTTTTTCAATGTTTTACCCTCCCCTTTCAGAAAAATTCCAAGAGTAAATAAAGTATTCCACAGTACTTACTCTGGTACTTCATACTCCGCTAGTACAACTTTATTTAATGTACTTTTTACTGCATCAGACTAGGGAAGCAAAAAAAGCAAAATTAAAAAAAAGAAAGAAAAATCATGACTAGCACTGTGAATGCTAAATGTAATTATTATCCAATCATAGAATCCTGTGAATAGTTACATTTAAATTTGTATAATACACAACACCAAACATAATATAAAACTTACACTATCAATTATATGCGATAAGAATTGGTAAAACTCATAGCATTCATTGAAATCAAGAAAATGTCACATGCAAAGGAGTCCATGACAGTAATTAGGATCGCATTTTATTTCATGTTCACAATAAATTATATATTTGCTGTACACGAATACATGTTGCAACAGTTTATTAATACAGGACAATTTTGCCAATCTTATCATGAAACTCCCCCTGTGATAACTGAGGTCATAACAGAGTACTGGAATGTCCTATTAATCGATTATGCATTGACTGAATAGAAAACTTCTGAACCAGGTCTATGTACATATTAGTTTAGTATAATGTAACACAATAGTTATGCTTACATCAAAAGGAGGTCTTCCTACTAGGAAGGTGTACAGCATACATCCTAATGACCAGACATCAGATTCTAAACCATGTGCACTTCTTGTGGCGATTTCTCTGTTAGGCAAAATTAGGCAAATTCAACATTAAAGTGATCATCATGCAGATTAACTACTCAGTACAACTCATTTATATAAATAATATTTTCAAGGAAAATTGGAAGATGAAAATGAAGTTAATATATTGAGTAAGAGAATATACAAAGTTGAATCTAACATGGGTTATGTAACTGCATATCCTGGAAATGAAAAAAATCAAACAAGATTTTGAAGTTGAAGAATGTACTCACGGTGAAATATAGTTTGGAGTTCCACACATGGTAAAGTGTTTATCAGTGGGGAAATTCAATTGCGTTGCTAAACCAAAATCAGCAATTTTCTATGGTGGAAAAAATGAGAAATGCCTGTAAAAAGGTGTTTGAATTCATATAGTATAGTTTTTGCAAACATGTCACATCTACATACATGTCACTATTTATAAAACTATTTCATTCACGCCGCCCATTTCTCACGCTTCCATTGCATACTGTACACCATGTCTTTTTAGCTAGCATGTAATTTTAGCTAACCTGTAATTTCGCTAATTCAAGATGTCACTAATTTAGAATAAAGTATATTCTCACAATGAGATAGTCGACACTTTAGCTAAATTAAGATTTTGTTAATTCATGCATTGAGTCAAACTCACTAAAATGGCATGCAGCTATTTCAATGTGTTTTACAGTATTTCGTCACAATATATGTGCAACCATAATGAAATAAATGCAACAGGTAAGAATGACAGGCTGCGTGAAAGCTGTTCTGTCTCAGATTGCATTTTAATTTGTTTACAATTTGCTTATTTGGGGAGTACCATGTCATAGACAGGTAACACATACTAGATGTATTATTTGGACACATGCCAGACACTATGAAGGGTCAAAAACCGTAAAAACTAAATTTTTTTACAGCACTACACGAGAAAAAAACAGTATTATTTTGTTCAATGGAAAAAAAAGTCACTTGAAACAGATGAAAGAAGTAGTGTATTGAGATTATTGCAAAGATGGTGCACATCCACAAAGCCGCATGACATGACAGTGGTACTTGATGTGCTATGAATTGTTTTAACTGAAATCTGCAAATTGGATTGACACATGGATTTAATGTCATAATTATGCAAACCATATGGCATGAAAGTATTCAGATCCTTCAGCAGAATAGCAGTGAGAGTAAATTTCAAGTAAAAATAATGTATTTGTACAGTATCGGTACTTTTAATATTATTCTTATTAAACTCAAATTTACAATAATCTATATTCAATATTCACAAGATTGTGAAAAATTAAATTCCACTATTAAAATACTATGACAGACTACAATAACTGTCATATTTGCTCTATTGCCTATACAAAAAAAAAAATGTAAATCATTAAAATATTACATCTTTAACCTCTGTAATTTGCGTGAGGACATGCACTACCAATAGAGCAAATACTATATTTTCAATACATAACAATTTTGAGTATATTAATTAAGTATATTTATATAATGAATTTATTTATACATACTGGTTCCATGTGGTCTGTCAGTAACACATTAGCCAGAGTCAAGTCTCTGTGTAATATACCATGGGAGTGTAAGTACAGCAAACCCAGAATTATTTGGCGTAGAAAATGTTGTGCTAAAATATGAAAAAATAACAGAATTACAATTAGAAAGACTGCACATTTGTGGAAGTAGATACACAAATTGACTAATATAATATCTAAAACTATTACAGGTATTATCGCATGTTTAGAGGCGGTGTCTCAAATTACTTCTCCCCTTTTAAAAATAAGGTAGTTTCTATTACTGTAATATAATTTATTTTAAGGTGAATTCATTTTTACTGAAAAGAACGTAAGGATTTTGTGTATGGAGTTGTATATTTTCACTTATTGTTGAGTTGAATGTCAAATATAGGAAAAAGAGTATATTTCACTGAATTTTATTTTCACTGAATCATCCCTTCAGTGAAAAAGCATTTTACAGTACTCTAAATTGCTGTGATTTTCCAAGTCAGGGATAATTTTGTAACGAAAATTTAAACGTTTACATTACTTTTGCAAGAGGGTTACACGAAAGATTTTCTCTAACTATACATCATGGCATAGAATTAAACTGATATTTTCACTGTTACCTAGAATACCAGTGTGTGTGTGTGTGCAGTGTTCTACTCTACTAATACCTAGGTATGATGCTAGTAGTACCCCGGTATCTCTTTACAAATTCATGCAAACAGTATATTGGAAATAACATAGTACTGGTACTCTTAATTTGTTGGGACATTTTATGCAGGTAATTCCACATAATAACACGCTCTCAAATTGACAATAACAGATCAAATAATTACTAGCAACATTCCTACGTAGCATACCAGTACTGAAGTATAGCAAATGAAATAATACACATATTCAGAGGAATTTTCAGAGCAAATATAAGACCGAGGAATTAAACCGCTCATAAGAGAAAAGTACATAGCTTTACCTTTATCTTCAGAGAATATTTTATTGTGTGACTTTAGATACTTATTGAGTTCTCCTTTGTGGCACATCTCAAGCACCAGATACACATAGTTGTTGTCTTCAAAACAGTTATAAAGCTGAAAATAAAAGGAAACCACAGTCAGAAGTGCTCAACACAGATAAGAGTATGTGAAGAAGAAAAACACGCCTGACAACAAATTATTATTAAGAATGTGCAGTAGGCAATTACTGAGCAATAGTGTTAATACCCCCATTAGGAGTAGAGTTCACGTCCAGCACTCAATATACCAACTATGTCAAGTCACTTTTACAATAGGAGATAGTAGTACTGAATTTTTTTTCAATCAATAAATCAATCAATTCATTGGCTTTATTCATGCTCCAACATCGGCTATAAAGTACATCTAACATGTATGTTTGTGGGGGAGTTGAAGGAGATGGTACAACAACAGGAGAAGATGGTGTGAAATGGGAACATTGGATAGCTGCCAATGACACGCTGCCAATACTGATTGCAGTCAAGGTACAAATGTACATGCATGAAGACCATCCATATGACAATAGCATCTATTGTATAAATTTATTATGTGCATGACAATTTCTAATTTCAAAACCATTGAAATGTATGAATTATCAGGGTGTATGAAGTAACATGTGTACATTTCAATAATTTCAAAAATAACAACTTGATAAAACTATATCTCTTTTTATGTATTGACTTGCACAAATACATGACACTATGGCACAGATATAGCACACACGTCAACGGCTACGCACACAGTGCTTACAGATGAATCTGAGATCACCACTATTAAAGACACATACATACATATCAACAGGTATTGCATTATCAACTAAAAGAAATAGAGAATGATTGTATAATTCTTCAGTTTGAACAGTTACAAGAGAAAAACAAAATCAAACACGAATCTCTCACCTCCTCCTTACCAGCCATGGTTAACCAACAACCTCAAACCGTGGCAGAGTAATGACCCTATAACATCTAACAAATAAAATGGGTGGATTTGTTGTTGGGAGATAGGTTTGGAGTGGAGCCAAGTTTAAGAAAAAAGAACTGAAGTTGTGAAAACAGGAATACAAAAAGCCCCATCTGGCGTGTGTCCAAAGCACTTCAATGAATCTTGTATTTTACACGCATGACAGGAATAATTACAAAACACACTTGTGCGATACTTTTTTACTTACCTCTAATATGGAAGGATGTTTGAGCTGGCAATGGATCTCCACTTCATTTCGTACTCTGGATACCATGCCTGCAGCATGCATCATCTTTTTATCAATCTGAAATTCAAACGTTAATAAAATAAATGAGTACATCAGAACATCTTTGTTTTCCATGTTGCCATTTTGGAGCAATGTTTTGCGCATTCTCATTATTTCCTTGTTAAGGCCAGACTTTTATTATCCCTTGTTTCGCAAACCCGCCGAATGAACAGGAGCCGAAAATGAAATAAAAATATAATTTTATTTCAGCGTAATTTCTTGCACTCGCCGACTTGTAAGCGCAGAAAAATGCTAAAAAAAATATTTTTTTTATCTTCATTTTTTTACTGCCCGCCGCATAACAAATCCAAGTTGCATTTTCATGGGAGTACCATGATCAAAGTACCAAAGTCTCACGCAGATGAGAAACAAGGTTATACATGGAATAACATTTTATTTTATTTATTTTCTTCTCTCCGATCAATGATCTCACTTACAATTCTTTGAGAATCACACAAATCTAATGAAAAAAGGAATTAATTTTATTTTTTTTGCCCTCCTCAAAAAAATTGCTACATGTATATAAAAACTCGCAAAACAAGGAATGCAATGCATTGTTGCATGGTGGATTATTAAAATATGATTTATTTTGACCATAGACTTACTTTTGTCATTTACACTTGATTTAATGTAGTGATTATACTTACACTACTGCATGTTTTATTTCCAAGTTTATAGGTTTTGTACATAATATTATTTTATGAATAAGTCAGCATAAAAAAGATAAAATGGACTGCCTTAAACCAATTACAGCACATCTGATAATACTACATTTAGTTGCAAATCAGCTATCACCCTGAAATACTACTATGAGTGCTGAACAAAGAAAATGATTGATCAATACCAAATCCTGCCCTTTGAGTAATTTCACGACCATGGTATTGGACAAAGTGGGATAATGAAACTTAATGGGTGTCTGTTTATTTTTAATCAGTGTGAAGTAGCTGAATAACAATTTAATTACTGTATATGGCCTTTAAGATTCATGAATACACCTTCAGTTTTTCAGGTTTTTTGTAGTTATCCATGCAAGTAATTGGCCATTTTTGATTTAGCCTCAGTTAATGTTATTTAGATTTGATGTTGGAATAGAAATCAACTTCAATGTTAATTTCTACATAACAATCTATTTCAATCTAAAAGACAACACATGTGCAGAAACTGCTTATGGAATATGAAGAAAGGTGTGCGAGTTGTATCAATAAACATGGGTTTGAAATGGATGTGTAGAAGTTGTCTTACAAATACTTTGTACAGTCCATGTTTCAATGGTAAACTAAAATAGATTTATCCCCCCAAATGTTTCATTATTCAGAGTTGAAAACCTGAACATTTTTTTATAATTGAAGAGGTCATGTTTTTTCCACTATCCCATGTATAACAATATGGTGAAAATCATGCAGGGTCGGAGAATACACTGCTTGCCATACTAACGAGACAACAATAAACAATCTAAATATGTCAAGTGCAGATGAGTTACAATGTAAATACACTTCAGGTATTTGGGTAAAAATAAATCCAGGGACAATAAAACACAACAAACTCTATGGCATTCTAGTAATGACAATGTAATGTTGGAAATTTATTGAAATGTGATTTCAATGTAATATCCCTTTAAAGCTACTATATTATTGGGTATATTTTGTATGTAGCATTTGGAGTATACTAATAGAGTATGTGCCGTATACCAAATTCAACATTTTATGTAGATTCTGTTGTAGCTAAGTTTTCAGCATTATAGAGCACTAACAAATCAATGCAATCGTCTGCGAAACTGATGTCTCTTCAATACAGCCTACTTATTTAAATTAATCAAAACTTGTTGAGAAGCAAGTCTGGATTTATTTGATGAACAGTTGTCCCATCTTTGTCTTATGAGAGATTTATTTCGTTGCCAAACATGGAACTTAGAACATTACTCACTTACTAGGCTAGTTGTGTTGAACGTTTTCCAAAGAAGAATTTTAAACCGCATTTCATTTCAGGATAGGTGTTACAGATAAAAAATAAATTAGTTCTGACACACATAACTCGGCAACAAAATCACTGCCGATTCCAATTCATCGCTCATTTTAGTACATTTGTTAAATACTTCAAAAGAGTTTAACAGACAATACAGCTGCAATAAGTTTTCTTCCAACAGCCTTACACATACCGGTACTTCTCTGCCTATCACTGTCTTGAGGAGATGACAGCTTGACTACTAATGTTGATACAAGTACAGACAATAAAGTGGATCGTACAATATTGAACTAAATGAAGATGTGATGTACATGCACTACACAAATTAGTTTGTCAGAATTCTGCTTTGTCATTGTACCCTTATATATTGTACCTCTAATATTTAAACAGCACCAAATATAAATCTAAACAAACACGAAATCCAGAACTTAAGATCACTGTGGTACATGTGGTTGCCAAGTTTGTGGGTATCCCTGAATAAATATGTACCCTTTGTAGTAAAAAGGCTTTCTATCACATTTGTGTGTAGCTCTGTTTATGAGATAATCACAGCCAAGCTAAGCTCAGATTCAGCGACAGGTAATTATTTATCTGTGAAATCAATAGGGAAGCACAGTCTGTCAGTGTCACACACATTGTCTGCCAATCGTTGGAATCGAAGCAACTTTCAAGTAAGCTCTATTGTGTTCATGAAAGATGTGCCAATTGATACTTTAGAACTGTTAAACCCGCTATTCTATGCAGCCTGTTCAGACTTGCTTTTGCAGAAATATAGAAACAGGGGGAAAAATGTCCAGTTTTTTTATTCCTTTAAAATGACAATGTAAATGAAGCGCTACAACTTATTGGTATGTAAAAGTATAAATTGAAAAAAAATAATTCTGATCATTACAATGGTGGTGTGAGTTGAAACTAGGCCAGACAGGTAAACAATTGTTCTTGTCACTATACATGTTATTGTAAAGCACTGTTACCGGTATAACGTTTAGATAATGTATTCGTGTGAACAGTTTTATTGTATGGTAGCTGTGAGGTCGGCATTGTCTTGACTCAAGTAGATTTCACGCATGATGGCGAGAAGGATTCAGATTTCATATACGTGTACCGTGACATCTGACAAACTTTACAGACTATCACCAAGCCAAGTATTTCATGTTTGAAGACAAACAAAAACAAACAGTATTTTATTTTTTATAATAGGACCAGAACTCACATACATGTACTATATATGGTATGAAAACAGATAAATCCAGATAAATTCTGGTCATTGTATATTCCAAATCAATTCAAGCTTGTTTTTTTTTTGTTTTTTTAAATTGTCAAGAAATATTTTTATTTTTTTCTGTGAATTGAATGTTCCTTTCTGAAATTCAAACAAAAAACATAAAAAAATATGATTTGCACGTCTGTACATTTAACTAATTTGGATAATGACTAGCAACGTGAAAAATTTAGTAATCTAATTTAGTATTTTCATACAGGTTCTCATTTTTAATTTTAGTATTTCAAAAACAACAGTTTTAACACAATACAGTATATTCTCAAAATTCTATTGACTATTATTAACCATGATATAGTCCCCATCTTCAGAAAAAATGGGTACTAGTATCTCAAGAAAAACACCAACAGTTAAGTTTGGAAACTTTGAACATTGACCATTAGTCACTCCTGAGGTTTTCTATGGCCAAAATTAACCCTGGGTGATGTGGGAATCAACTACTATAAAAGTCTCTATACAATTTACAAATTTCTTGATAATGTACAGTGATATTTTAAAGAATATCAATTAGCACATCACAGTCATTGTAGAATATAACAAGCAGGGTGGTAAGAATCAAAGTGTCAATGGAATCAATTATTGAAGATCATAGTGTTGAACCATAGACCCTCTGCAATACTTACCATTTTGATAGCCACCTCAAGTCCTGAACTCAAAGAACGGGCCCTGTACACACAGGCGAACCCACCTTTCCCAAGCAGATGAAGAACCTGGTAGTCCTACAAAAGTAATAATAGAAAAAGAATAAAAGATAAAAAAATATACAAGAAATGGCTCAGCTCTGCTGTTTTGATGAAGATTATAGACTTTCTGCAAATATTTTAACATGGACTAGGTTATATTTTGGTGAACTGTGTGTAAAAGATATTTTACCATAATTTCTTCATCTCTAAAACCATCTTTCTACCCATTTACATTGTATTATTATAAATTAATGTTACTTGTTATCTCACAATCCATTTTTTTGTACCACAACAACATTTTACCTTGGTATTATAGTACTGTAAAATCTGTATTAGAAGCCGCAGCTTCTATTAAAATGGTACATGTACAATGCAACAGAGGGGATGCGGCTTCTATTATCTTCTATCTACATGTATGAGAAATGGTGAATTTTTGGTTCTCAATCCTTCAAAAAGAATGGGTGCGACTTATATTACAGATGCAGCTTCTAATACAGATTTTACGGTACATGGATTGAAAACGTGAAAAAAACTGTTTTCGCATGTTGTCCCTGTAATTTATTGGCTAATGTCATTATTGATATTGATAAAAATTATCATAATCACAGCTCGTTTAGCAATCATAATAATTTCACAATGTTAGTAATAACCTACATGTACTTGTGGTGAAGTGTGACTCGTAAAAAAATATATCCAAGAGTGATAAATGAAAAGACAACACAAAATCAAATAACAAGAGGAGCAAGAAGTTGTGATTCTAACATTGGAGAATAAGTCTTTCACAGTATTGTCTGAAAGTAATAATGAGCAAATTAGGCGTAACAAATAGGACAACACTTTTAGGGAAGTTTTCATTCATTATTTCAAAATGTAATCATAGTCAATCACAGTCAGAACAATACAACTAGCCTAGACATGTTTGTGTAAGATTTAGATGCAAATTAAATTAGTGGGAAACCAGTTTTACAAATGTACCACAAGTAAGGAATATGAAGGTGTACACTTAAATAGATAGATACCAAGAAAAATAAAGTAATCACAACAATGTCCACATAGACATATACAAAAGCAAAGATCAGTGGTGTGTGGTGGTGCTGATGCGCCTGGTTCAATTTATGAATTCTTCAATCACTAACATAAATAGATAATAAGATATTAGATATTACACAAATAACTACTGGTGTGCCAAGTAGACAAGTACACATGCAAATATGTACTAAGAGAGCTATAATACAGGCATGATATTCAAGTAACTGAAACCATTGACCTACATGCTGAAACAGACTGAAATGCCTTAAAAACACTAAAATTATTACTTGTAAAATATTTTGTAATATTATATACACCAACAAATTAAAATAAGTATTAAATGAATTAATATCATCACTCTAACTAAATGTACGACATTACATTGCTGGGAGTGTTTATAGTTATAACTGTATGCTATAAAATGTAGAATTATGACGTAGTAAAAAAATAATGCAATAGCTTTCCGTTCTCCGTAGGTAAAGTGCATATATTACTCCTGTTGTTACGTGAAAACCAACACTTTACAAGCATATAAGCGTCACCATGACAAAACGTGCGTACCTCCATTCTTGTGAAATTGACGGTTATGCCGCGTTGACAGGCTTGCCATGAAAATACATGTTGACCAAATCATAGACTTAAATCAACCACGGAAGTCGTATTGTTACGGATCATAACGTACGTCGCCCACAAGACGTCGGTCTCATTTCATCTCACCGGAATGTCACTTATATACTGGGTTTGGCACGTTATCCGCACAATTATACAAACGGTAACTTAAACAAGTTAATCCAAGCTCAACTGTTTTCGCTCTCTTTATTTTTGCCGCCCAACATACCATCGTCATTATGTTGTAGGCACAGAAACGAATAATGGTCCGCAGGCGGCATGTTGTGACACATCGACTGACAGTTTAAATCACATCACAAACTAAACAATTTACGAAGTAACGTGAAAGGTGTCATTTAACTAGGGCATAACAGATTATAAAATTCACCAAAAGTTATTGGTTTATACCAATACAGCCTAAGAAAATGTGAAAACTCACCTCGATGCAGTCCCCCAAGACGCTGGGGACAGCCATATTACCTTGACCTCTTACAGATCACTGGTTGTTGAAAGTCGAGACCCAACGTAAACAAAAACAGCTACACAATTTTCAGATAAATACGTAACGAATCCCTTTGAATGTTGTTAATCAGTTCGTGTGGTACCTCTTTTCGTCATTTGTACCACTTGCCATATGTCATCTTAGTAATAATTCAGCAAAGTATCGTAATTCCAAGTCTTAGTAAAACATCGGTATCCAGAACACATTCGTCTTCACTTACACATTTGAACGAACGCGCGTGTAACGACAACGAGGCTACATAAACCTTTGACCTCACTAAAACGAAGAAAACGAATAGTAGATCTATAGAGGGCGGACTTTTAAAATATTTGAAAAATAAAGGATAATGATATTTTAGCCATTAAAATTCGTAATGTTTCAAGATAAACATTGTTATTTTAACCAGTAACTGGAACCACTGTCCCGATTGTCACTTTCAAACGCAAGGCATAATATTACTATTTTAATCCTTAGCTACATCCGGGTACTGCGTCATCTTTCAAAAAATCGCCGCCATTTTGTTTCCACCGGGTTTCCATGTGATTTGATTAGTAGTTTTTGTCTGTTGATTTTTTTAGCCGGATTTTTTTACTCTTTCTCTCGATAATCACTTTAACCAATTGCATTTAGAACAAGTTCCCACAGTCGGTTATGGCAGTGAAAAGCGAACCCGATGTTGCCGATTTGTTGGCCAAGGCAAAACTTGAACAAGTAAACGAAGTGTCATTCGCCGGAAAGGGCCTGAAACTTGACACAGCCGAAGATGGTACGTAGCATGTTGAACTCAAAGTTTGACCAATGTGTAATATATATATTCCCTATGGACCCATTACAATGGTGATCGCAAATATATATATATATATATATATATATATATATATATATATATCATATTTATGATCTTATGATTTACAAATATGAACAAAAACTAAAACAGGTGTCTGGACCGGAAATACATACACAAAGCAGAAATGTATATTCCACTGTCAATGCATGGACGTACTAGAGATGGACGCTGCACGGTGATTCACACCTGATAAGACGCATTCTATTGTACTCATCTTAAATTCATGAATAGGCAGACGTACTTTCATCTTGACTGAGTTGCCGCCCGATCTTAGTTTTGATTTTTCACAAGATTCGAATTTTAAATTTTATATTATATTGGGTAAAAAAAAAAATACAGACCATGTCCATGAGCTGGTGCAATGTTACGTTGTAAATCAAAGGTTTAACGCAAATCCGTATGTTCTAGGCAAGTTTACGAGCATGTTTGTACCGATCTTCAGCATTTGTTAACAATTTTAATTTAATATTGCCAGTAAACCCGGTGTGAGCGGATGACGATTTTTTTATCCGATGTTCAATTCGAGTCAAATTTCCAGATGGCACAAAGCTCAAAATGTTCGGAAAAGTTCGGCCGCCGTAATTTGATGTTAAAAATGGACTTCTTTAACATTAGCTTTCATGTTCATGATGGGCTCTCGCGAGAAACAATACTGCTGTTCGTCCTCTTCAGGGACGGTTGAGTCGACAGTTTCAATGTCTTCAATATCAAAATCATTATCATCTAGTTCTAAAATGTCGGGATCTACAAAATCCGAACCAAAACCAAACTTTCTCTGGTGCCTGTTCGTTGCCATTTTGTTTTCTCTTGACGATCGTAAACAGATCGTCGGGGGCGTTCGGGACAAAACGAAGATGAACTGAGCTATAATCGGGCGTGTTCGTGATCGTTTCCTGTGGACAGGAAATTATGCAGACATGATCTGGATCAACAGTAATCTGGTGGCGGCAACGCACATACATCAAAGCGAGTAAACACCGTGCACCGTCCATCTCTAGTACGTCCATGGTCAATGGCAGTTTATTCTACGCTTTTTTATTTTCTGCAAGTAAACACGTTGGTTTGTTTGATATAAGAACATGTAGCCATTGTTCTAGACTGGTTATAAATTATTCATATTGAAATGAATTTTGATGTATATTCAAAAATCTTCAGTGGTCTTGTGTTAAGGCCCAATGCACATGTCATTGCATCCTCGTCATTATTTAAACAAATTACAAGTGGAAAAAAAAGCATGTAATAATTGTAATGCTACACTGACATGTATTTGTACAATATATGTTTTTTTATGCATATATGTATGTCAACTTGTGTTCCACTCACCAGCTGCCGAAATTGTCAAAACCATAAATGAATCCAAAGATGTGCAATCATTACGGTTAGGAGGTAACACGGTTGGTGTAGAAGCCGCCAAAGCTATTGCTAAAGCTCTAGAAAATAAAGCAGAATTTGAGGTAAGTACTAGCATGCATGATTGAACAATATTGTGAAGTTGCTCCTGTTCTTCTTCCAGAAAGCTTTGTTCATTGAAACTTCTGATGCACCATGGGAGTACTGCCATGTTGTAGGGCTTCATTACTAAAGTAGTGATATCTTGTGATGCATCATGGGAGTACTGCCATGTTGTAGGGTTTCATTACTAAAGTAGTGATATCTTGTGATGCATCATGGGAGTACTGCCGTGTTATAGGGCTTAAATACTAAAGTAGTGATATCTTGTGATGCATCATGGGAGTACCACCATGTTGTAGGGTTTCATTACTAATGTAGTGATATCTTGTGATGCACCATGGGAGTACTGCCATGTTGTAGGGTTTCATTACTAAAGTATTGATAGCTTGTGATGCATCATGGGAGTACTGCCATGTTGTAGGGTTTCATTACTAAAGTAGTGATAGCTTGTGATGCATCATGGGAGTACTGCCAGGTTGTAGGGTTTCATTATTAATGTAGTGATAGCTTGAGATGCACCATGGGAGTACTGCCATGTTGTAGGGTTTCATTACTAATGTAGTGATAGCTTGTGATGCATCATGGGAGTACTGCCATGTTGTAGGGTTTCATTACTAAAGTAGTGATAGCTTGAGATGCATCATGGGAGTACTGCCATGTTGTAGGGTTTCATTACTAATGTAGTGATATCTTGAGATGCATCATGGGTTTACTGCCATGTTGTAGGGTTTCATTACTAAAGTAGTGATATCTTGTGATGCATCATGGGAGTACCGCCATGTTGTAGGGTTTCATTACTAAAGTAGTGATATCTTGTGATGCATCATGGGAGTACCACCATGTTGTAGGGTTTCATTACTAATGTAGTGATAGCTTGTGATGCATCATGGGAGTACTGCCATGTTGTAGGGCTTCATTACTAATATAGTGATAGCTTGTGATGCATCATGGGAGTACTGCCATGTTGTATGGTTTCATTACTAAAGTACTGATATCTTATGATGCACCATGGGAGTACTGCCATGTTGTAGGGTTTCATTACTAAAGTAGTGATAGCTTGAGATGCATCATGGGAGTACTGCCATGTTGTAGGGCTTCAGTACTAATGTAGTGTTAGCTTGTTATGCATCATGGGAGTACTGCCATGTTGTAGGGTTTCATTACTAAAGTAGTGATAGCTTGTGATGCATCATGGGAGTACTGCCATGTTGTAGGGTTTCATTAAAGTAGTGATATCTTGAGATGCATCATGGGAGTACTGCCATGTTGTAGGGTTTCATTACTAATGTAGTGATATCTTGTGATGCATCATGGGAGTACTACCATGTTGTAGGGTTTCATTACTAAAGTAGTGATATCTTGTGATGCATCATGGGAGTACTGCCATGTTGTAGGGCTTAAATACTAAAGTAGTGATATCTTGTGATGCATCATGGGAGTACTGCCTTGTCGTAGGGCTTCATTACTAAGTATTTATATCTTGAGATGCACCATGGGAGTACTGCCTTGTCGTAGGGCTTCATTACTAAAGTAGTGATATCTTGTGATGCATCATGGGAGTACTGCCTTGTTGTAGGGCTTCATTACTAAAGTATTGATATATTTTGATGCACCATGGGAGTACTACCATGTTGTAGGGTTTCATTACTAATGTAGTGATATCTTGTGATGCACCATGGGAGTACTGCCATGTTGTAGGGCTTAAATACTAAAGTAGTGATATCTTGTGATGCATCATGGGAGTACTGCCTTGTCGTAGGGCTTCATTACTAAGTATTGATATCTTGAGATGCACCATGGGAGTACTGCCTTGTCGTAGGGCTTCATTACTAAAGTAGTGATATCTTGTGATGCACCATGGGAGTACTGCCTTGTCGTAGGGCTTCATTACTAAAGTAGTGATATCTTGTGATGCATCATGGGTGTACTGCCATGTTGTAGGGTTTCATTATTAATGTAAAGATAGCTTGAGATGCATCATGGGAGTACTGCCATGTTGTAGGGTTTCATTACCAAAGTAGTGATATCTTGAGATGCATCATGGGAGTACCGCCATGTTGTAGGGTTTCATTACTAATGTAATGATAGCTTGTGATGCATCATGGGATTACTGCCATGTTGATGCATTATGGGAATCGATGTTATCCTCAGAAAATATAATTGAGTATCGACTAATTTACATAACAATATAGTTTGTTAATTATCTCTATTGGTTCATTGTTATGCTTGATTGTCTCTATTGTTTATCTCAAATTTATCAGTTGGGAACCCCTGTTCTATAATGCCCGGGGGGAACCCTGTTTTAATTGGCAGTTCTTTTGATAATATCAGGTGTAGCCATAAACTTAAAAAAATTAATTTTGTAGAGTTTTCATTGTTTTAAATATTATAAACTGTTGGCAGCTAGAAATGTTGGTTATTTGATATGGATGTCATTTCGCCAAATTATTACAACACTGGATGGGACTCACCTGTCTTGGTGCAGAACGTTGCAGTTTTCTCTTACTCACACAATTTGTAAAATTTGCGTCTAGTGAATTTAAATCAATTTACAGTAATGTGATTCCTGGTCTTAAATTATTTTATTCAGAGAGCAAGATGGAGTGACATGTTTACTGGACGACTGAGATCAGAGATTCCTGTAGCACTGGTATGTATGTATTATTTGGTAGATGAGATTAATGTAATTGGTTTGGCTCAGTTTGCATAACTCAATAGATGGCTATCTGTTTGTCTCGCATAATGTGTGAAAGGTGCGAATTGAGCATCCTGCTGCAAAAATCAAATGATTTGGTTTTTTTTTTTTTTTTTTTATTTTAAAGTTCAATGTTGAAATGCCGATGTTTCAGAGAATTGCCTATCAAATTTATATAGCACAATATTTAACATGGAAATACTCAAAAAAATCCATTTAACATTTGTTGAATTTTGTGCACTGTGCTGATGCTATCTCCTTTGTTTTTTTCTTGTTTTTTTATTTCACACATAACATGGAAATTCGGTCATTAGAAAATGGACTATTGATAGTCATGTTGTGCATGTCAACTACCAAACAACTGGATTCATTCAGTCAAGTTCATAAATTTTCAATGGCCAATTAAAATGCATCTTTTAGTGTGTTTTCATGTAAGAAGTGCTATGATAGGCTGAATAATTTTAATAGTTAGTTGTGATGTCATCTTACAACACCTCCAGGTCTGTGTTTTTTTGTTAGATCAAACTTAACAGAAAAGTGAGACAAAAATACAAACAATTTTATTGCATATAATAATATTTTGTGTTAAATTTCTTTTCTTTCAGGAAAGCCTAGGAGCTGCCATTATCACAGCTGAAGCCCATTTAGTGGAACTTGATTTAAGTGATAATGCATTTGGTGCAGACGGAGTGCGAGCATGTACAGAGCTGCTGCAAAGCGAAGCATGTTATTCCATAAGAGAACTTAGATTTAATAATAATGGACTCGGTATAGGTGGGGGAAAAGTAAGTTTATTATGATGATGGAATTTTGGTTTATTACAGCAGAAAAACAACACTTGTGATTGATAAAACAGAATGTTCATATCCTAACTCTTTCGAGATATTCTGCATTGATGATCCTAGCTTTGCAATATACATGACCAGCCCATTACACTTCAAGTTTCTTTGTTCTATTAAAGCGAGAGGGTCGTCACCCGCACACATGCTGCAATTGAGTCCAAAGCTATGATAACAACACGCGCTAAAAACGCAAAGGTTCATGGGTAGACACTTGTTTGTAAACAATGACACGCTATGGCCATCTGACACATCCGCAGGTGACATCTCCTCTGCTTTAATTAATTAAAATACCTTTAAGGAGGTTCAAACCGAATTCAAGATAATGTCATGTTTGTCATACTTTCATTTATGGGTACATGTCATCAGAATACCAAAAGGGAAAAATAAAACAGTAGTCCATTGTTATGCAATAACTTTTCTTCCAGAATGCATTGCATATATATGCAATAACATGCTCAGTAGTGTAAAATTTGATTTCAGCTCAAAATGCCATAATGTCTACAGCAAGATGCTTTATCCTTTTCACCATCATCTCTTTTCATCAACAATTCACAAAATAATGTTTATAGTCTGCACTTTCCTTCAGAAGATTGGGACAAAAATAGCCAAAGTTTTTGAGTAAAAACTGAATATTGACTCAAATTTTGTCTGTTGGCTCCAAAATTAGGGTTCATTTCCTGAAATATTGAAGAATACAAGAAAAATTTGCATACAAATTTGGGCGAGAAAGTCTGGTGATCTAAAGGTTAAAATACCTTCTCAGATTTATCACCTGAAAAACTTTCAGTGAGATAATTCACAAGAATTCAATTTATTTTATATTGCTCTTAAGAATTCTGTTGTTGACTGACCACTGGCAGTTTGGTGTTGGGTACTCTGACCTGTTTGCCATTGCATTCTCATCACCAACCAAATTATTAAGAAAGCAAAACCTGTCCAAGATGTACTGAAAACTAATGTGTGTATTTATTTTCTAATTCACAGATTTTATCAGCAGCATTAATTGAATGTCATAAAAAAAGTTCAGCTGCAGGGAAACCATTATCACTGCAGCTTTTTATCGCTGGAAGGAATCGATTAGAAAATGATGGTGCCACTGCCTTGGCATTAGCATTCAAGGTAACAATATTGGTGCTATACTATCACAATGAGATAATTGCATTCAGTCAAATTCGATAAAATGTCATGTAGCTATTTCAATGTATTTTACAGTATTCTGGAATTCAAAATGTGTGAAATTGTTGCCAAATTTTATTTTTGATTAGTTGCATTCAGCCTGGTTTTGAACTACTACAGATGTTTTGAAATTATTAGTTTCATACAATTTTGTTATCCATATAATCCCAAAATTATTTTTTTCAGACTATAGGAACACTCGAACACGTAGCAATGCCACAGAATGGTATAAATCACCAGGGAATATCAGCACTGGCAGATTCGTTTGCAAAGAACGACAAACTGAAGGCGAGTATAATGTTTTATCAGCAATGTGCTTGGTTGTCAGCAACTGCTCTGGTTGAGATACAACAACTATCATATAACCCATGTATTACAGTAGAAGATTTTATTTTCACATGTAATTTATTTATGCCGAAGTGAGTATTAAAATCAGCAGAAATAAATACTGTAAGGCTAGTAATTATTTACTGTGCTTTTTTCGTTGATAAACAAAATCTGTTTAAAATAAATAAAATCCATGGGAACATGAAAAAAAAACTTGTCAGCTGCCAAATTTGTGAACATGAACTCATCAGAATAGTGATGTTAAAATCCAGTGAAAATAAATGGTTTTACAGTATGAAGTGTTGTATACTCTTGGTTTACAATTCAATTTAGGACTTGCAGAAAATAAAATTAATTTAACATCAATAGATTTAGGTAAGATAAAAAAAATAACCTACTGTGTGATGCTGATTGGTAATGTTCATTAGTTAAATAATTTTTTTTATTTGTTTTTACAGATAATAAATTTGAATGATAATACATTTACAGGAACAGGAGCTAAATCAATGGCCTCTGTAAGTTGAATGTCAAGATGGTTGTCAATTTCATAACTTTATTTGACTTAATAGTTTATCATGTAATGTTATCCCTATATACGCATATCAAATATTACTATTATTCAGTTTTCATGGATTTTGCTTTTGAAAGATTTATGATGCTCTGATACATCGTCCCACTTTGCATAACTCATTGTCTGTTTGTATTCAGTCTTGAAATATCAGTCAATTTTCCAGTCACAAATAAACAATGATAGATGCTGTTTACTACTTCTGAGAGACTAACCTTCAGAAGAATTACCTATCCCATTATTAGTGACTTTGTTCATGTGCACTAATATCATTGGTTGTACTATAGTACAATATATTAACATAGATTAATGCATAATTTGTGGAAATTTCTTAATACAAGGGATAAGACCACAATTGGTATGGTTTACTCGTTAATGAGATTTGATTGTGTTCTTTCAGGCGTTTGCTAACCTACCTGAATTAGAAGTCATAAACTTTGGTGATTGTTTAGTTAGATCTGCTGGAGCACAGGCAATAGCAAATGCCTTAGAGCATGGAGTTCCTAAACTCAAGGTGAGTATTAGTTTTACTATTTTTCTTTGCCCCAAATTTTTTCCAGATGACCAATCTTATTGAACTCAACCTATACTTAGTAATATAAATATGTTTTTTACACCTGTTTGTTTGTGCTATTGTATCCCCTCATGAAATCAATCATCTGTATAAATAAATTAGAAATTGTATCTCAAATGCAGACTCTATAGAGATTTGGTGTTTATAGCGCCCTCTAGCATAGTTTCCAAAAAACAATAACTTTTGTTTTCAAGATGAGTTGCAGCTGCTGTTCTATTTCTTGTACGTGGTTATTGTTTGATTTCATATGAGTGTACCATAGCTATTTTACATGATCAGTGTCCATTTAGTTGCATTTTTATGTGCTGTATCCTTATTTATAGAATGGCATATGATTTCAGAAAATATGTATTAGTGGTTTTACAATGACTAATTAATATTTTTCAACAGGAATTGAATTTATCGTTTGGTGAGATCAAAAAAGATGCAGCCCTGGCAGTAGCTAAAAGTGTGCAGAGTAAAAAGAATTTAGAAAAACTTGACTTAAATGGTAAGAGTTTGTTATCATACATTGTTTTTCATAAGGATTTTTCAGCAAGGTCTCAAAAAACAAATTCAGAATAATGAAAATATACTTAAATACAAATGTGCCTCTTTGGACAAAAATAAGTCTTATTTGCTCAGTTATCACCATATATGACAGCAGAGCTGTTTATGTAGGCGATTGTTCTTTCGTTCATCCTTCAATAATTACATTTCCATCTTCTTCTTGAAAACTTCAAGCTCAACTGTTTTGATACTTGGTATACAGGTACTTTGAGTTAACCTCTGTCCGATTTGTTCATTTCATGTTGATATCTTCAATTTTCTATTTTTGGTGAACATTTTTGGTAAAAAATGCTATTTTCTTGAAAACTACTGGATTCTGCTGGAAATTCGCCCAGGGCTGTCAAACGGCAGTTGGGGTTTTTAAACAATAAACTGCAGGAAGTGATACACCAATGCGTGGGGAAACTCTGCTGGAGAGCTGCTATTTGTTATTTTTAACCGATGTATGCTTTTTATGATCAGATCAGGGAGAATGCCTTGTTCATGTGGGCGGGCAATTGTTATAATCTTCTTGACGCACTCGTACATTTACATTCTAAGGACTCAAGCAAACACCCCAGCTAACACCTATTGATGGTTGCTGTTCAGTGACTTGTTCCCAATGACTCCGCCATTTGTGGCTATCCCACCACACTCAAATGCTCGCTTGGTACCGGTATTTACAGCAGTTTTCATTTCTTCAACGGCGGCACTTACAACAGCAAAGACTGTTTCCCAAGATGGTCGCAAACCAACCCCCCGGCACTGTCATCTCATCGCCGCCTTAAATGGTCTGTTGCAAATTACATCTACTGGCTGCAGGTAGCTTGTTGTTTTGGGTGGGATATATTTGACCGATGTGTTGTACCTTTCCAACAAGGACAGGAGATCGCCCCCTTTATGTGGCGTTGCCCCGGCTCGTGCACGGAAAAATTTATTTACCCACGTGTCTATGAGTTAACAGGTGTTGCTTTCTTTATTTGCAAGCATTACGAAAATGTTACTTGGAACAGTGACTTTGGGAATGTTTTTCAGGCCTTTCAGAATGACGGCCGTCTTCAAATATTGTCCACTCATGGACGTGCTTTTGTGGCACCACAGTTTGCTGCCTCAATGGTTTTGTTGCCGATAAAGTCGATAGTGGTATCTGCAACCATGTTGATGTACACGGGTGTTTCGTCTATGCCATATGTCATCTCTTGGAGAACAGACAGATGTTCCTGTGCGATCAATCGCTTTTGAATGAATTTTCAAACTAGGGATTATGCGTAGTTAATTTCTAGCTGTGCAGAAAAGATGTACAATAATAATGTTATTACGAAAATACCACAAAATATGTACTAAGGCAGTAAATGGTGTCATCACAAAAAAAAAAAAAAAACTTCCATATTTCTACAATGCTTCTTGTCACCGTGATTACGGTAACAAATTCTCTTTCGCGTTTTGACCACTCCCTCAGTCTTTTTCTATCAATATATGTACGTCAAGATGCCACAGTCTCTCCAAACAGCAACAACTTGAAGTTTGTCTTCAATGGTGTTCAATTTTTACTTCTGAGTCGGCATGTCACGGTCACGGTTTTGAACATAGACTAAAAGTGACTCTGCCTTGTATGAGCTGTGTAATTTATGGCAAATTTTTGTAAAGGGTGCGAGCCATATTTAGCAAATTTTAGCTAAATTTAGCTTTGGGTTGGAGTCACAGTGATTGCCAGACATTGGCAAAGAAAATGCCGCAGATTACACGTGTGAAAATCTCTTTGTATCATTGCGAACACAATAATTATGACATGCCACTCGTTTTTGGTAAAGTCATATATTATTTTTTCTTCCTTTGAATTTTGTAACAAGATATGCTAGCCATATACAAAACACTCAACTTTATTGGAAATCAGCGATTTACAACTGTCTACAAATTAATATACAAGGTTTTCATTTGTCCCACGGAAAAGCCTGTATTTGTTGTTAGTCTTTCTACCTCTGTCCCAAAATCAATTCATGGTTCAATTAAACTATGCCAGAATAAAAATAAAATATCACAGTCTCATTCGTCCATTGTGCTTTCGAAAATGATTTGTATATAGCATTCAATATTTAGCCTTTATTTCCTAGTAATACAAAACGGGTTCACTCACTTAAATTCAATGTACCTGCAATTTCTTAATCACGTCCAAATGAAATCGTAAAGTCGAATGATGTCCCGCATTTAATAACGTCATAGGTGGCCCGTTACTTTGAATTATCCGGGACTTTGAAATCTAGTGGTTCACAAAATCATTCTCCGTGCCCGTAATTTTAAAAATAATAACCTACAAATTAAACCAAGCATGGTCCCTCAGCTGCATTAAAAATCACAAACATAACTGCCCACTGCCATGACAGACTTCTATTTCATTAAATGCACTATTCACCTCTACAGTTACTTCTCTGTTTCCAAAAAAAATCAAAAATTTCGAAGTCAAGTTAAATAAAAATGTGTTCCTGTCACTCGTACTCACTGTCACTGCAACCGTCTTGATCACTTGTCATCCTTTTATTCACTATACAATGATGGTGTGGAATGCAGACCATTAAATCTAACAATAGCGTGCGCATTCAAATATTTATTAGTATAGTGGTGTGCGCTTACGGATGTGGAAAATACAAACAGACTTTCTTGTCAGTTCACGGCCAGTTAAAGCAAAACAAAGACGAATCAAAGTCTCGCCATAGCCATAATAAAAAATATGTGGAGTTGTTTTGTGCCTGTCGATACTAGTATTTTAGAACACTGGATTTGCATTGGTCAAATTGCATATAAAGAGTCGTCAACTGAAAAAAATATTACATTCTGTCGTCAGTGATTGATCACTCATTACATCATGGGAAAGAAGAAAGTTGTTATTCGCAATGTACTTGCTGTTGGAATGCCACATTACAGTAGCTCACTACCATTGGGTACTTCACATCTCCTTTGCCGAGATCGCCAGAATCTTCACGATAAAGACGCAGTCGCCGTGACTTTTCGTGGAAAGAAAGTGGCAAGTTTAAAACGTGATGCAGCAAGATTATTGGTGAAAATAATGAACTTGAATTTATCTGCTGATGGTTGTTACTATCTTAAACCAAAGACAAACGCGTTCTCACACTCACCGAGGGTCGGTGTTATGCACTTTTGCAACATTTGGTTTCTTGCCATTGATCAGGTGATTCCAAGAATTCAAGATATCCTACGCAATTGTCGCTTTGATGTCAATATTGCACAACATGTTTCATGACATGTTCAAACCAAACGACCCTTTTCAGGACCGCCACATCTGCTAAGAATATACCAATTACCATGTTTTATTTTCAGATTTTGTTTTTGTTTTTTTTACTGAGAAAGATGACACTGGGTGATATTATAGTGAAATTTTAGGCGGTCTACTTTTTAATTCAGGTGTCTGGGGAAACCTGCTGTGCATAGAACAGTAACTGTAGCAACTAGTAAAAATGTATCAATTTTTAGTTTAGCTTCTGCAATAGTTTCTCTTGTCTTGGGTGGTCCAACTGCCGGCGTGGAAAGTCAGCATTGGTTAATTTTTGAATGAAAATAGAAGTCCCAAAAAAATATTTGATGATCATTTTTTGGAAATTTTACCCCCAAATAAGTGCCCACCAGCCGTGAAACCGCCCAGGGAGATTTTTTGGATGGGCGAATTTACGGCAGAATCCGGTACTAGCTCAATTGCTTTGATACTTAGTACATGTATATAAGTAAATGTACCTAGGGTAGACTTTTGACAGATTTGTTCATTTCGTGATAATATCTTCAATGCTCAGTATTTTTAGCAAATATATCTGTCATTTTGTTATCAAAAATGTTATCGTTGACTTCTATATATGTGTACCTCACCTGTAGATGGACCTCTATTTGCTCTCTTTGCCCACATTATGTATGTAATCATGCATTAAAAACAGAACAAACATAGGTTATTGCTTCAAAGCAGCTCCTGGGACTCGACAAACCTTGCCCCATCACAGTAGTTTTAGTTATAATATCTATAGAAACGAGGGCAGCTTTGTTAGCTTGCTAATCCTGTGAAATAAATTAAAGGCATTACTGTGTCTTGCTTTTCAGAGTGGTTCGTCCTCTATTCTATACTATTCACCTGTCGTCATGGCAGACAATATAAACATTGCGTCATAATCTACTATATCTCAAAATCCAGTTGGTGACCACTTATTTTTTTCTGCTGTGATATTGAGTATTGGTAATATGATATATGAGTGATTCAATTGTATGATCTAGTTAAATCCATCAAACATATTCCATCAGTAAGGCATTCCTGGAATACGCAAGACTATTGGATGTAGTTTGCAACACAATAATTTAGTCATTCCATAAGAACTCTATTTAGAGTTCATGCCGAAAAAATTTCCTAAATATTCTTGTTTTGCCAAATTAAAACATTTACAGTACACATTATTTTTGTTTTCTAATGTAGGTAATGGCCTTGGAGAAGAAGGGATAGATTCAATTAATGAGATTTTCGAATCTGTTGGCATAACAGACAAGCTTGGTTCTTTTAGGTAAGTAAAGCTTGTATGAATTGTAATATTATCAATACTGCCCTCTTTGATAGATTGAATCTTGACTTGCTGCCAACTACTATTCTAGTTGTAAAATAGTTTCCTTAGTTACTGCTAATAATGGTGAACTATCTCTAGTGTCATAAAAAACATCTTTGACTCTCCCTGCACATGGGGGGAAAGTAGTGTGTTTCCTGTCAAGCAACTTTTCAAATGTGACAAACATGGTCACGCTTAACAGAAAAATTTGACCTACAAAACTCAAAACTTGATGGCAATAAAAAATCACCCTGTGGCATTATAAGAAATTCACAAATGGAAAAAAATTCACTCTTTTATGTCATTACTATAGTGATGATGAAGGCGACAGTGAAGATGAAGATGGTAATGATGAGGCAGAGGAGGAGGAAGAAGAAGTATCAGAAGTGAAAGAGGAGGTAGAAGGTGACGTTTCAGAAGATCCTGCGTTACAAATTCAAGGTACGGCGATTACACCAAGAAGTCAAGATGACAAGGTAATTACCATAGTTTTAATAAATTTCAATTTTAAAGATGCAATATGGAGAAGAACATTTCATTTGTAGTATTATTGTTTGATACTGTGAAACATTGGACTATGATTTATCATGAACTGAAAACAGTTTTCTTATAGCACATAACATAATAAATTTCTCTGATACACATATGCACTGGCTCTTTTGGTATGTTCAATACTGTAAAATACTTTATTTTCACTGGAATTAATTTTCGCTGAAAAGACTTTTTAGGTGTGTTGTATGGAATTTATTTTCACTGATTTTTTAGTGAGTTGAATGTAAAAGATAGGAAAAAAGGTATATTCGCTGGATTATATTTTCACTGAATCATTCCTTCAGCGAAAATAGCGAAAATTAATTCCAAGCGAAAATAAAGTATTCCACAGTATCATTCACTTCCTCTGCATATAAGGGGGTTTTGCTTTTTCTTACAAATACTATTGGGTGTTCACATTTTTTAGTTGAAATAAAAAAATGACTGTGATTTAGTCAACAGTATTAAAGTATTGAACAACAATAATAAAAAATATTTTTTTTTTGTCCGTATTGCATCTTTAATAATTATGAAGTGAATTAATTTTACACAACTGGAAATAAATTTAATTCTGTAACTGCTATCAAGTGTAGTCAACTGCGCAGTATGTTTAGTACAAGGATAAATACGATATGGAGTAAGTATGTGTAGTAACCATTGTTAAATCCACATTGCTTGATGCAACAGCATACATCAAGGATTACCATAACAAGTTACAATAATTGCTGTTAAACCATTAGAGAAATTTTGATGAAATGTTAGGAACCTTGTGATAACCAAAACAAGTGATAATCCATCTATATTCATGCCACAATTCTTGCCTGCATGCAATCTGTGATCATGTCTCAATATACTCTGTACTGTGCATACATTATACCCCACATTCAATATTACTTCATTTATACAAAGTCCTGTAGCCCAAATTGAACTTGTTCTGGTAATATACTTTTCCTACAAGCCATGTCCTCGGCAACAAAGCATCTGTTTCTTGAAAATGATGTAGATCGGTTTAAACAATATCGGTAATATCAGCACTTTGTATTCGCTTGTCATTTAGACTTTATTTTAAGTGATTTATTGACGGATTAGAACAGACGATGTGAACAAAATTTCTGTCCCTTATTTATTTCACATACATTTCAATAATAGATGGCATGACTTGGAACACTGTATTGTCAGCTGGTTTTGTATCCTAAAATGAGTTGTTTCTTGAAAAGTAGTTTTTATAAAACAAACGAGAAATTTGAACAATTGTCTTTCTTGGCAAGAAAGCACCATCTCTTTTACTGAAGAACAAAACGAGGAGTTTTGTGTTTGCCAGCTCAGCGTTAAGGATTTCTTTCATTACGGGTACTAGTTTTGACAATGTATTTGTCTGTACATAAAAATGAAAAGTAAATTCTATTGACTGAAGTTAGTCTTTCTTGGTATGACTTTTACAGAAATCAACAGAAGACCTGGCAGATGCTTTGGATAAACTAAAACTATGATACATTGTACAACCGACAGAGAGAGATATTTGCAGTTGAAGGACTCTTTTGCGTACTTTTTTTTTTTTTTTATCTATTTGCGTGCTCATATTTTGGCTATTTTACTGTTGTCAAAACACATCAAGGAGAAAATAGTTGTAAATATAAAAACATTTTAATGTCTTTTCAACATGTTGTGTTTTTAAAACGGCAGTATTAAAGTCCACAAATATTACTTTTTATCATCAACATATTTTTCTGCTTTTTAACTGTGCCTTCATATAAGATTTTAGAAGATTGTGATATAGGAAATTTTTGTGGTGCAAGTTTCTTCTTTACAATAAATTACAATGTACTTTGTAGAGCAACTTGCGACGTGAAAGTATTACAAATAATACTACGAGTTTCCCTTAAAAGTAGCGATTGCCCAATATCTTATCAAATTGAATCCAGGTTTTAAGCTTTTTCACTAAACTGTACGTCTGAAAGGAAATTGATTATAGGTAGTGACAACTACTTGTCAATGTACATAAATCTAGGTTTTAAGTTTTTCACAAATATAATTCATGCATTTTGATCCAATACATGCAAGTTTGTTTCTGATACTTGTACTCTTGCATGAAGAGTGGAATTTTCAGTCTCAGATGATCTGTATATTCACTGAGTTGTACTTTTTTATGAAATTCATGAGTACTTTATGTTTCAATTTCATAGTTTCTGGCTTAACGATTTTACTGACTTATTTTAATTTATCTTAAAACTTTTTAGCATTTTAATGGTTTATATCCTGTCCTGTAAATATGTAATTTTTGACAATTTTAATAGAAGCAGCTATTTTTGTAGATTTCCTGTTTTGTGGTGAATGCATGTACAGTTTTTCTGTGATTTATGAAACGTGTATACATTTGTTAGTCATAGTTCCATACATATACATTTGAACTTAAATTTTGAATTTAGATATACATTGTACATTTAAACTTGATGGGAGAAGTGCTTGCCATAGTTTTCAATGGAAACAATGTATAACTGGAAAACAGCAGATAGGAACCTTTCCTTTTAACATCATCAAATATAATTCAGTTGTATATTTATTTGTTGTGATGCAACATCTAAATTTTATTGTATATATTTCTACAAAAAAAAATGTTTATTTTCTAAACCCAGGTTTCTCAGTGAAGTGTTGCAATATTTATGTACAGGCAGCCAGTGAATATATACAAGTGTTATTGATAGGTTTATTAGATGTTAGACACTTGTGTTGTTTGCCGTTTAATGAAATCATGTTGTCAATAAACAAACAATTTTATCAATTTTATTCATGTGTTTTATTTATACATATTGAGACATGATCACAGATTGATTATAAAATATGCTTTCATTAGGATAGAATATAGAATATATTATTATTATACATCTGTCACCGTAACGCTATAAGTTACAGCGTGCCGTAATTTTTGCGGTATTTTATGGGGTATTTTCATACTACTATATTAGGAAATGCGAATTCCAAATATGGAATAATTACGCGCGTAAGCGTCCTATAATAATAAAAACAAACATGGCTGCCACCAGGATTTGACCGGACTCCATACAAAGAAGTTCACTGATTCTGTTCTAAACTTTTTGGATGTCGGCATTACCATGATGTATCTTTGGTAGGAAAAGATGTATAATAATGAGGTCATTACGAAGATACCTCAAAGTATGCACTCAGACAGTACAATGTCGCATCGACCTCCGCTGCGCGTCCGTCGATACTGCCGCTGTACTGTCTTCGTGCATACTTTGAGGTATCTTTGTAATAACCTTATATACTGATGATAATTTAATTAATTTTCAATTCATTCATATTTAAATATGAGCAATGACAATATAGTACATAGAGGTATGTGCATTGAGGGTGTGGATTTAACAAGCAGAGAAAAATATTTAGTTCTAGTTCCTGGGTTCCCTGTGGAGATGCAGAGATTATTTGTATCATGGAGCATTCTCCACTTAACTACAATGAATTATCATATGATCACATGTGTATAATTTAAACACCCTATCAAATACAGTACCAGTCTTCATATGTAAAATGGCAAAGTATGATGGTTTAAATATCTGTTGTAATTTTTGTGAACTCTTGAAATGTTTATCATCCTTGTGAAGCCATGTATATTTAGACATGTATATTTTTTGGAGATATTGATGAAGATTTGCTTAATCAAGGTCCATTTAGGAATAATATTAATCTTGTGGTCCCGTATGAAATATGACATGAATAAAAGTTCTCAAATAGTATAGCAAATTATAATATATCTGAACACGACTTTGGCGAGAGAAATCTGCACATGTGTACCCATATCTCTTGATGTTTCTCGCTCCATCATGTACAATTTCACACATTGTGTCATATGTATGTACACTTATTTTATTTATTTTAAAAAATTTATAGCCTTAATCTTCAATTGCTATGACAGCATATTCAAGTATAATTCCCACCGTAATCTAAAGCCCACAATGCATTACCTGTTTCAAAGTTATTTTGTTTTGGAGCGCATACTGTTAAGTTTGATGGGTGCTGTGCTAAATCATGTTCTACAATAATGGATAGTATAATTTTAGCTCGCATATATCCACTAAACTGAAAGTCAGTGAATCCTTCACAAATACCCCTGCTTCCACCCTGGAAATTGCACATTGTTTTGATAAACTAACAATGATATAATTATGACATAAGATGATCAATAATTTAATTTTTATTTTTCATAAAAAATGTATTTTTTGGAAAATAATCAAAGAAAATCTGTGACATGCACTTTTTGACGGACAATGACCAGAAACAGGAATATTTTTAATTATTCATTGTTTTAATTTCAGTTTTCTGAATCATTTTAGACCTGAATTTTTAAATTCTTCTCCTACTTTCAGAAATAGTTTTTGTTCTGTCATAAGTGCTGGAAATCCAGACTTGTAAACATAATGGGTGTAGATAAAACATTGAATTCCAAAACTAAATCTCCTTTTTTACCCACAATGCATTATAGTTACACCCATCATTAGCGAGTCCTGAGTACAGATCCTACATGGGAATTACATCACGTTTTTAATGAGTGTGATGGGAGAACCTAGGTTTAAGAATGGCAGGCCTGGCCTGTTTGCCACGGGCATATATTCCATCTCCATAGAAAGATCATCACGCTATATTAAATATTAATGCTTTGGAATGTTTGGATAAACATTTCCCCCCCCCCCCAAAAATGTTCAGACTTTTTGTTTATGAAAAGATATTTCTGCATTGTATCGTAATAATATGAACCCATAGTAATGAAAGAAAATGATGTATAATCTTCAGATCCGTTCAATCCACCTTCATAATAATGACAATCTGCTAATGAACCTTTTTTTCTACTGATGCTGTTGCTTAGGCTACTGTTACTATTGGTGACTTCCTCCAGTCTCCCTCATCTGATAAGTTACTTGCATTAGGTAGCAACAGATCACAGCTGTTTGTTGATGAACTTGGGGCAAGTATATCTTTATATCATCATTTATATATGCTTTTGAACATAACAGTAATGTTTAGTTTGTACGTTGTACATATTTTTTTCTATAATACTTTTTATTAAATTTTATTCCAAACAAACACAATTTTTAATTTGCTACATTATAACATTTTCTATTCAAAGATTTTTAAATAGTTTGTATATTGTCAGTTTCATTTACTGAACTAGAAATGAATATGTCCGTATCAGAGGTGTACCATTCAGAATATGCTAAGACTTAATACTTAATTAATCATTACTTCTCATCTCATAGAAAGTGGAAAATTCAGACAGTATCGTGAAGATGTTCTTCAAAGTGTCATCAGTCATGGACTTAGAGAATGAGAATGTTACCAATGCTGTCTACCAATGTTCAGGTGATTCATCGATATACGTCTATTATCTAATTGGGGACTGAACATCTTACAGCTGTCTGTCTTAGCCAATAGGGGTACCAACATTTTATTGCTGCCCGTATGAGCCAATTTGCTATGTACGATTCTTGTCTTGTGACACATTTTTGTATAGAATATTAAGCTTGACAGGCTACTTTATAGTAAAACCATAATCAGTTTTTGATAATGATTGGGTTCGTCAAAAATAATTTGTTATTTTTTGTCTAGATGCTATTATGAGTAAAGCGTATTGCAGTGATCTTAGACCAGAAGAAATAGTAAATAGCGTATTAGTTTATTTGGGACTTCTTAAGGTAAAGTAATGTGGATTATTTACACCTTCTCTTATTGATCAATCACAGCAATAAATTAGACTATTTACAATTCAGAAAAGTTGGATAAATCTGACAAGGCAGCATGAAGAAAAGACTTTAAATTAACCTTGGATTAGTTTAAATGTGTTCAATAATTTATACGGATTGCTCTCTATTTTGAGTCCATTCCTACTTTTATGATTTTTGACAACTTTACAAATTCTACTATGTATGTTATTTGCAATTACAGAGTGAAGATAAAATCAAACCATTTCTCCAGATCAAAGGAACAATAATCACTTTGGCACATGTTGTAAAGCAAAACTATTTTCCTATTGTATGTGCTACTACACTCATCGCTTTCCTATCAAGGTAAGACATTTCTGCACATTTACCATTGACATCACACCCAGTTGTGAGAGGAAAAAATATGACTCTCAAAGCATGCACACATGAAGCAATATCAGGTGTAGTATATCTGCTATATACACCAATCAACAGATTAATAGTTCTCTAGTTGATTTATTACTGAATGTGAGCCAGTGTTGATTTCTCAATATTGTGCATCGTGGACTCTAGCAAGAAAACAACCCAAAACTCTGCTATGCTGTATATTCTTGTAATGCTGACATTTTCAATAAAATATGCTATGTATCAGTAGCTATTTTCATATTATACTGGCTCAAACTGTATTATCACCAATATTTTTATTGGAAGCTCTGAACATATGAAGTAGTATGTAAGATTTCCAAAATGCCACAAACTTTCCAGCTCACAGTTGTCTTGTAGCCAAAAAATTATCAAAGAATCCCCATAGATCAGTTTGTGATTGTGTTTTCAGCATTGCATGGCATCATACAGTCAACTAATCACACACTGGATTTTATAATCGATAATCTGAAGATGACTGTATTACAAAATCTAAATGAGAAGATTTCATAATTAAGATTGGTCTGCGTTACTTACTAGACTCGTTTTATTTCCCATATGGCCTTTAGGTTTATTGGATGATGACTCTTTTA